TCGGAGAAGACGATGAGGGGCGCCAATACTGGTACCCGAAATGGTCGCTCTGCGTGACAGCGATTCGGTCGGCTGATCTGGCGCCTCATCGCTAGCCGACCGTGATTTCAAAGACTGCAGCTGCTTCTTGGATGACTTAGACGGCTTCTGTACGGGTGGGGACATGGACTGGTTCTTGACGGAGGTCACGCGCTTGTCACTGTCGAAGGAAACTAACAGACTGGCTACCGAGCTGAACTCAGCTGCCGCTCGAGCCGACTCGGGCTCGAGCTGATCAATAACCGCGGCAAGCAACTTCTGGCATTCCTTGAGGAGCTTGCTTTCGCGTTTAAGCCCCGTGTTTTGCCACAAAAGACCTAAGCCAGAAGTGAACACCAGCTCTTTCCGGTTGATACTGATCGAGAGACAAAGACGCCTTTCGTCAAGCAGCTGGAGAATCTGAATAATATGCTTGCAAGAGTCAAAAGTAGCCAGAATTGACGGAGAGCGAATATGTTCTTCGCCAAAGCAGACAGCGGGGCGATGAATGAGAGAACGGATGTAGTAGTAAACCAGAGACTGGGTGAAGCGGATATTAGCTTACTGAGCAATCGGTGTGAGAGACAGCCCAGAAGACTTACCAGAAGGGGCGATCGGCTGCTCGTGATGTTTGTACTTGGTTTGTCCTGCGAGAATTCGAGGCGTAGGTGAGCAGGCAGGGCCTTTACCCATGCGTCCAATTGCTGGGCAACCGAGCGCATCTTCGACACCAATACCTCATAACCACCGTCCGAAGGGAAAATATACTCCAGGGCGTTGTTCAGAACTCGAGATGCCCCGAACAGTGCAAGGGCGCTTGAAATACGGGTCGACTCGCCCGGTAGAGTCGGCAAGAAGTCGGTCTCCGTGACATTCTCATCATCAACGTCCTCGGGGTATTCAGTACGGATATCCTTTTCGCGTAGGAGGACTGGCAAGCCAGTCAAAGCAGCGGTAAGACTGCGGCCATGTAAGCAAGATTCCCTCAAGTTTTCCAACTATCGCGAAGAGAGACTGTGAACTCACCGATCAAGGACATATTGACACCAGAACACCTTCTTACGAGTCTCGGCAACCAGCGGGTTGGCAGAAAATCGCTTCTGGCTCTGGTGAAGCCTTAGTTGATGGCAAAGGCCAACGGCCAGGCCACGATAGCGGAGGAGACCTGTGTAGTCCCCCTTTGTCATACAATACATCTGAGCAAGGACGTAGCACTGCAATGTCGAGATAGAAATGCTGCTTGACAGAGTCTCGAGGGTTGATGACCAGTTGTCTTCGAAGACGGTGGGATCCTGGTTCGTTCGTGACTAAACCTCCTGTTAGTTCCTCAAGTCTGTCTCCAAATGCAAGCCCAAAAACAGGTCCTTACAGTAGAAGCAAGAGCTGCGATCCCGAAAATCAGGTTCAGTTGCACCAAGTCATGTGTAGTGCCCTGCAGAGACTCGGTGTTCGATAGATACTTCTCATAAGCTTTGAGTATGGTCGGCCGATGGACGACGGGGTACAGAGGCGCCCATTCTTGGAAGAAGATATTGATGAGTTGGTCAGAGACAAGTCGTGGGGCGGTTTTTATGGCTTGGTCAACACGAGCATGAGAGATGGCCGGAGGCGAGGATGTCAGAGCCTGAATTGAAATGCCAGAAAGAGGCCGTCCCTGCTCTTCGAGTTCTTTTGCGAAAACATCTAGATAAAATTAGCATGGCGTTCCGGTACCACGCCGAATATGATTATCGTACCTAAAAATCCTCGAGCACTCGAAAGGCCGACACACAGACTATCAAGTGGCCCAGTCGAAGATGGCACTTCAGGAATCTGAATCGCTTCTTCAGCAGCCTCGGACACCTTGGGGCGAGCAGATTCGGCAGAGGACGGTGATTGAGACGTAGTCTGAACTCTTTGTTGCGAAGCTGGAGAAAAAGAGTGTATACGTGACAGCACATCGATCTTCTCGTCCTTCTCGTCCAACAGATTCTTCAAATCCCTCACTTCTGCCTCCAAGGTCCGCACTCGTTCTTCCAATGATTCCGTGTATCCTCGAGGAAACGCTCGACGGCTAAGCTTGTCGCTTGTCTTGCACTCGAAACCGACGTTTGCGCACTGGGTACAACATGGTCGAACTCCGTCGCAGCGAATCTTCTTGCTTCTGCACCGATCGCAGGCCTGGGCTATACGACTTTGCGAGCCGTTGCCGACCTTGATCACTTTCATAGGGAGAATTCCAGGCATTTTGGCTGGATGCTCTTAGCGCATCTGCCGCTAAGTGATTGATGCTTGCGCTCGAAACGGTAGCTAACGCCAAACAAGTGCGGGGCCCGGATGATATCTGTAAATAGTACTCCCTAAGATTAGGCGACGAAGATATTGAAGGCGTGACAGTTATCTCGCATACGAGATATTAGAAGAGTGTAGATTAGAATCTCTGCATAGATGTCTGAGAAGTAACGATAATTCTCAAAAAGACAGACGAGCAGTGGTGGTAGTACGACGAAGACAAGAGGCGAGGAGAGGAGACGCAAGACAAACGGGGGATCGAGCCTGTTTGGGGATAAAGTGGGAAAGTAATAACTGTTGACTACCGAATGAGCCGAATAATAAGAGGTACTCCGTATTGTGAGGACGAATTACGGTAGTACGTGACAGTGGCATCACGCAGTTCCTGGAGCGTGTCAGGGGACTTGGGGCGAGGGGGCCATGTGGGGTTGCTCTTAAGCCGGATAGCCAATGGAAATGGATGTTTTACTGCATTTCACTTGCTCAGCGGACACCGAAGATGCAACCGCGGTTAGTCAATACCGAATTACGATTACGGCTGCTCGATGTGGTTCTATCCAGAACGATCGTTGAGGACTGGAGATTAATTGCTGACTTTGAAGAGTATCTTGGTTATCGGCATTTCATGCCTCTGTTCGGATACATATCTGGTTCATCGTCATGCTGCGATCATTTGTAATCATGGAAACAGAGAACGACAATATTTGTGGAGGCGAATCTTGGGGAAAGCCTCTAGAAGTACTCCGTATCTGGGCGTCCCCCTTAACATTTCTCCATAAGACATTATGCTTATGATGCGAAGCCTAATCGTTCAAGGTATGCCTTGAATATGTGAGCCTACGACTATTGCAAAGCCGCCAAAACCCATAGTTCCAGCAATAGTCTCCCTTTTTTAGGCAAGAATGGACCGACGCTCAAGTACAAATACGGATGATCGTCTATCATCCGTCCAATGACTCTTTTTCAAGCTCTATTAAGTAGAGCATCAGCCGCCCGTTCACATATCACATAGAATACAAGAGACTATCACAAAAGGTTCAGCCCCTCCCATGGGAAGAGCTCTCCGCAATCCTGGTCTTAAGATGCTTTCCTTGACTAGCGAGTGTCGAACTCAAAAAGCTGGAACTTGACACGAGGGACGTCATGAGCGAGAAGCCTTTGACCACTCACATGTGTGTCTTTACGGCCATGGGGAGATTACCCACGGCTGATCCCGCCGAATTATTCCCTAGAACCCTTAGAGTCCGAAGTATCCACGAGAATTCTTCCCCAGAATATCATTGATTTACGCATATCCTCTCTTCAAAACCTTCCTCTAATAATACGAGCAGCAGTGGGAGGGAAGATTCGGAACCATTTTACTGTTAAAGTTAGCTCGCACTTTTGTGCCCCGTCCGTTCGCTGCTGGAGAAAATCGCGGGGGATCTCCGTGGATACCATCAAATGCCGATATGATTGCTCATTGCTGTCCTGAAATCCAATAAGATCAGAAGACGTCATGCCCGCGCATAAGTTCAGTCGCTCGATTATGCCGTGGCTAAGATCTTTTCAATTGTTGAATCTTGTATGACCACAAACGTGAAGTAATTTTTGGTGCCTTCCCTTGGGAGGAGTCTAATCTTTGCGTGCCGAGTGTTGACCGAGAAAACCGCGATGGTGGAGGCGAGAGTTCTACGTACTATCAATATTTGGGATCCGCCACGATCCGGCTCCACCAACCATGAGATGGGCGAAACTAATTCGACCAAGACATGAACTCTGTGGAGATGACTGCCAGAAGCAGGTGGCCCACGTTTGAAGATCTCCAGTGTTCTGGAAGGCGCTAAACGCAGCAGAGGTGCACATTACCCTGTCTAGTACTCCGTACCTGGTGCAAATGCACACTGCGAGCACCACGGCAGCTCAATCATAGATACTAGCCAAGCGACAACAGGAATGTCATGACATAAGGCATGTAGCCTACGCCTTTCTGAATCTGCCATTGTCGAATAGACTGCCGCAGCATGGCATGATTCCCTCGTGGCTGGCGAAGGCCCATGTCTACTCCGATAACCCCAGCCCTTCCAGTCAAATTTCTTGAAGCGCACGAAGTACACGATTACATCAGGCCACAATCATAGTTCATAGGCTCGGCATCCTTTCCTTAGGTCCATAGTGGACATCACACGACGTCATTCATGGTGTCTCCAGTGGCCAACTCAGACCTTATTTGGACGAAACGAACAAACAGAGTTTCGTGGCTCGTGTTCCAAGCCCCCAAGTCTCCTACCTATTCCGAATATCGATGTTGGACCAGAACCTAATAGAACCAGACATTCTCCAGCAGCCCGAAATTGTAGTGCTGATCCCCAAGTTTTCTCCCCCAGTGTCCCGGTCTTTCCCCATCCTTCTACCCCAGAGTTGTGGCTCGTACCCCACCAATGAATGACTCAATAAATGTTAGGAAAGAAATCGGGTATGTCTGCTTCGTGGTTCGTCCGTAATTGACCGTGTTTGAGTCTCCCGTTGGGGGTGGTCCGACTCGCGGATTGGAAGAGAAGTCGAGACGTCGTCGAAATTATTACTATTGCTAGATACTCTTAGGGGGGTTGGACTTCTGGTAGAGCTAACGAACCAATATAGCGATCAATGGATGTACACCTGAACGGTTAAGCTCATATACTTTCACGTAGTTCAGCTGCGTCAATGTTCCAAACCCAATCGGAGTATCATTATGAAAAATCCTCTTCTACATCATCGGACTGCTGGTTGAGGTACGCAGTGACCGTCTCAGATGTTATCAGTTCCTGCCTCTGCACGAAGAAATAGTGGTTAGTGCCCTCACAAACGTCAGAAACATAGGATCAACACTTACGCTACTCATGAGGTCCTCGATACTCGACTCCAACAATTCAGCCTCTAGACTCCGCAAGCTAGATATAGTATTCAAAACATCAGGACGAAAGAGCGTTCGCATGTCCTCGTCATTGCTTATTTCGGCAACTAGCTTTTCGGTCTCCCGCAAAATCACCAGCTGAGTCTCAAGCCGGTCGAGTATAAGCACAACCGCACGAAGCTGGAAAATAGCCCACAAAGGGTCCGCTGCTAGTAAATCCTTGAGGCGGCTGGGCGTTCCCATGTCCTCTCCTTTCCAAGTAGCTCTTAGTTCTTTGCCCCCGTCGGTAGTTTGCACCACGTCGAAATCGAGGCCGTCTTCCTCGTTTACACAAGCCCACCATACAAAGGGGCTATCCCAAGTGGTTTTGGCCGGCCCTGGACGTGCCGTAGTGGCTCTGGTGATCCGTACCCCGGGGACCTCTTTGCAGAATGCTTGCTTGGCCATTTTCAAAGGATCGTCATCGGGGATTTCCAGGTCGAGGAAGATCTGCTTCGCGTCCGTGCTTTCTCTTTCAACGAAACCGTAGGAGAATACCATCTCCGAGGCTGGTTTCTCATCACCATACCTATCATGCCACGGGATCAACATACATCTCCTTATCACGATCGTCTTCAAGACTTACGATATAGTAACTTCCTCGCCGATGCGTAGCTTCTTGCCGGTCCGAAGCTGGAGTACAGCGTTTCCGGCCCCCTCCTCGTCGTACCTGGCTTTCACCGAGTCCTCACAGGCATGGTTTGCCATATCAACACATGGCACAATCGCATGCCCACTCCTGGGAAGATCGACCACTCGTGACCGATACACAGCGTCAACATACTTCCAGTCGTCGAATGTGAATCTCCCTGTATCCTCATCCCACCAATGCTCCTGGCACCAGGATATGTTCTCCGTAACTTCGCGTAGGTGCTCGAATTCTTTATCAAGAGAACCAAGTTTCGCATCGACCGCAGTCTGTAGCGATGTCCCGCCTAACAGCTCACGTTCTTCTGCTGAGTAAAACGTCGGTAGAGATATAGACGCCGGCATAAACTTAATGTACTCTGTCCAAGGGTTCGAGATACCGATCTTTTGGCGCTGGTTGGCGAAGTCTGGGCTTGCATGGGTGATTTGAACAATTAAAAAGATCAAAATCGCGCCTCTAGCTGTCTGTATATTTTAGCCCGAAGTCATATGCGACAAGAGATGAAAACACGATCTACAGTGGTGGTGACCTATAACATACTCTGCCAAAGTCGCCAACAGCATCTAGGACCCCCCGAAGATGGCGATCTATTTTTGCATGGTTGTGAACAAACTCGGAGGTGAGTGCCAGGTCGGATGGGACCGCGAGAAGAGTGTCTGCTTCATCTTCCCCGTCATTTTTCTCCACTGTCGCTACGATGGCGGAACCTTTGTCTGTCCCGTCTGCGCCTTGGAGCTTCTGGAAAGCGATTCCCTCGAGGGAAATGCCATTGAGCTTTGCCCAGGGAGCCAGAGCCTCAATAGGTAGATAGTCGCGTCGCATATCGTTCCGTCGCTGCACTTTTTTGGACTATCACACAGAGCCGACGCAATTAGAGAGGTACAATGGAAACCAAATCGTCATGTTCTGCGAGCTGAGCTCCCCACACCCTACCTACAGTCCTTATCGATAAGCCGGGAAAGCTTAACCCTAAGCCCTACAAGCTTGATTGGTCCATGCCATTGCAGCATTTAGACGTCATAGGACATCTTGTCACTTGATATAGACCTTGCTTTGGCCGCGCCCTTTCGCGGCTCGAAGGAAGTTGACGTCTTGGGAGACTTACTTAAACGATGCTTGTACCGAATGTCTACGACCTAAGAAGCTCTAATTTACCACTGAACAACTAACACCCACAACCGCAGTCCGACATGCCTAGCAACCCTCGACTCCCGTCTACAACTTCAAAGCTCCAAAGCATGCTGATTCCGCGCCCTCCGCGCGTGTCTCTTCTTCCGCTTCAATCTGTCTGGCAACCTGCCAGGTTTCCCACACCTGGCAATGTGAGAGCCCGCCTCAACAGCTCTCTAGGCCAAGAGTGGAAGGGTTCTTCAACCGACGACCATGTGGTGGAGAGATCGAAGCACAAACGGGATATAACGGATCCTCAGACAGAATCTTCCGATTCCGGGCTGAAGGAGAAAAAGGAAAGCGCGGGCGTTGCAGATGAATCTAAGCCGGGAGCAGTGACGGAGAGAGAAGGTCTCAAGCAGGAGCGTCAAGCTAAAAAGGAACACCCTAAGGCGCCTGAACCGATAATCGGCATGAACGATGAAAGAGCTCAGGTCAGTGCTACCTGCCCCTTTACAACGAGGACTGTTATCGTCGGTAATCTTTCACCTGGCTAACGTGTTCATGGCTTATAGAAGGGTACTTGATCGCCCCGATTGACCACTTGAGGCAATTAGTTTTGCATGAGTTCGCGACCTTCGATTTGCCGTTGTATTATTCATGGGATGTGGTTGTCTCGTTACAAAAATTGCCTTATATCAACTGTACATAGATGGAATGATATTTCTGGTCTATCGGCCAGGTTTAAACGAGAGGACCTGCAAAATTATTCTTAGCAAGCAACGAAAATCCTCAGTTACAAGGAGCAACTCACATCATGCTTCCCTACTTCAACTATTTCATCCTCAGACACTCGGGTGCCGCCAACACCCTCAATGTAAGAGATGGGAACGTCACCCATAACCTTGTGGGCAACATCGGCTACCGTGCTTCCTCTGTTGGACGTTAGCCATATACTCCCCTGTTGCCCGATCGCAAGGAAAACAAACTTTTTGACCAAAACACAATCTCTGAACACGGCATTTCCGGCTCCAGACGAAAATGTGTGCACGTTCTTAACTGGGAAAACCGGCACAAGTCCTAAGAGTTCCGCTGCTCGCGAGAGGCACTGCACCACTCCAGTGGAGCCAAAGCGATAGAGAACCATGTCTTTCAGGTTTTCAACACGGCTAGACGAGGTTAACCAGGTCTTCTTGTCCCAGCTGGGCATACTTACTTCTTCAACTTCTCATCCATCTCTTTTAGACCACCTCCATCGGGATCGCCCATCTCTATGAGGTCTTCTCGTGTATCCAAAAATTCACTGCCTTCTGTATACTTGATGTAACCCTGTTTCGCCAATCTTCGAAGAAACACCTCTGATATCGCGGAGCATAGCACTATTGACTTTGGATCTTGCATCTTGGCGATCTTGCTGATATTCTAGGTTCCTTCTATCAGCACGAATTGCAGCATGACTGTAGGAGTAGAAGAAGGAACCAACCTTGTCCGCGTCCGGATGGTCAATCTTGTTCAGTGCGAAAACTGTAGGGAACTTTTCATCAATGAAAGCCTGGACTACCCGCTCGATCGTCTCGTCCGACCACTCCTCTAGAGGTTGCTTCAGAGCGATCCTATCCAGACAGCGCGCAACTGTTGCCGATGTGCTTCCGTATCCGGAAAATTGGCCTTGTAATGTCTCCACAGCCGTCGATTCTGTGTCCACGGTCAATAGATAGATTTGCGGGAACGCGGCATCTACTGACTTGTCGCAACATGTCTTCTCTTGATAGAGCCCCTGCGTATGGCCGTAAGCATCGTGGGAGAGACGCAAAAAAGGGCAAGAGTCACCCTTGATCGTATCGTACCATTTTTGCATCAGATTACCCAAGACCCATCGCACAATCTCAGATCGTAGCCACTCGATGTCTACCGATGGATCATATCCGCGCGTTGCCTTTCCTAAGGACGCAATTTCTTTTAGCTCATATTGAGAGATAAGATGTAAACGCATACGATTGCTGACCTTCTGCGTCAGTTGTTCCACTGACATCCACCACATGAATCAAAGCATCCGCATGACGTAGGTCGTCCAAAAACTTATTCCCTAACCCGCGACCTTGGTGTGCTCCAGGGACGAGACCCGCGACATCTAAAAGCTCGATAGGGACGGAACGGCGGCCGTCATCGCAGCTGCCGTAATTCGGCTTACATTTGTCTGAAACATTGAAGCGTTTGCAGGCACACTCTATTTGAAGATACCCAATGGCGCGCTGAGGGTCAATTGTTGTAAATCTGTACGTCAAGAATCAGAATCGTATTGGAAGTGCATTGTATGCAGTTATCGTATAGAAGCTTTCGGGCGGCGGAGGTAGAAAAGGCAGAGGACGGTGTTTCAGGCTACTCACGGGAAGTTTCCTGTAAAAAGAAAGAACGGGTCAATAGTCTACAAGTGATATTCAAGTTATCAACAACTCACCAACTTTCGAACTGGCATCTGTCAGACTGTTCAGCGTTGTGGATTTCCCGCTGGAAGGCTAAATGCCCCTCAACTCAATCAGCGGCATGATCTTCTGAGACGACAGCAGGGACCAACCTTTCCAACCAGGCCAATCAAGGGGTCTCTTGGCATAACGACAATTAAGTTGCGGCTCTAGGAATATGCAAAAGACAAAAGCAAAAATCGCTGTCTATAGTCGTCCAACTTATACAGACCAAAAAAGTTCGCATCTGACCCAGCGGGGACATTTCGATTCTGCCGTCTGTCTCCGGCAGGCGGTGTAAAATCCCCGAAATGGTATCTTGCAAGTTTCAGTAAAAGGCTCAGATCATGGAGATATACATTGTAGGATGAGGAAGAAAGGTCTACACTGCCAATTTACGTTGTATTGCCCAACGTTGGACTATTTTAATTACCCATGTCATGTTCTGCCTTTCATAGACATTCATTTTTGTTGCAGTACACTCAAGCTTGCATCACGAGAATTGCTCCTGACCCAGAAGTGTCAGGTTGATTCACTGCGTTGACATTGAAGCTGCTACTCTAAAGAATCACCCGGAAATAAACTTCTGCAATTCTTATTGGATATTTCTCATTTATTCAGGGGTTTACAGGCCAACACGATGTTCCCAGCCTATGGTTCTTGCAGATCTTGATGACGACTAACTCATGGCTGATGAGATCTGAAAAAATGCAAGAAGGTTAAAGAAACAGAACGAATTCAGGCTTCTGTACTATGACATCTTCGATCTTCAACGGTGCTGCAGGCATGCAAACATGAGGCAATATTGAAGATGTGGAGTAGAGTGAACGTACCCCAGCGCAGCACCCGAGGTCAACATTGAGCAGTCCCTAATGAAGGCCATGATTCACTGAAGCCCACCTTAGCCACTCATCTTGACCTTGGCAGCAGAGATCTCTCCTATGGTGGGTTGTTGGAAGTCTGGGTGCTGCAAACCAAGGCCTGCGCGGACAGTATGTCGTCATAATGGCAAACGTCACCAGCCTTGCCAGGACGATGACGGTCTCCAGTCACGACAGCTCCAGCATATAACAACGTTGAAATCGTCCTCTTTGCATAAGTTTGAAACTCCATCTTCTTCAAACTTCAAAGACTTACTCGAGAGAGCTTTCCTTCACACCACATCAAAGTCAATCTACTACTTGTCCTTTTTCATCCTATCCCATACACCCAACACTCCTCCACAAGATGTCTAGCGAAACCTTCTACAAGACCCAACAGGACCTCCGCAAGCCCGAATCCCACGCTTCTCATGCCGCCAGTGGTAACACACCTGCCAATTCCAATGTCTCTGCTATGAAGGTAACACCAAACCTCCTGACCAAGTGGCAAACCAATCTGGTGATACAGCTGCTAACCCTACTAATCAGTCCATCGTTGATGAACACCCAGACAAGGCCAAGGTCATTGAAGAACGCAAGGCCAACCTGCCTTTGCCAGACCAGCCTCCCGTCGCCAGTGATTGGCAGTCTGCAGACCAGAGATCTGTCAACGTAGGCTCCGGCGGCCTACAAGGACCCGTCTCCGGCGAGAGCAACAGCGCTCTCAGAGGACCCGCTACGGCAGAAAGCAGCGCACGGAAGTCGGCAGAGGAATTGCACAAGGAAACTCAGCCCACAGGCAATGTCGGTCGCCAAGCCACGGAAGGACTTTCGGATATCCCTGGAGATGCTAAGGCTCGGAAATAATTATTTTCGCTTGATGAATGCATTGTTTCAACTTTTATGATGAGCGACCCAAACCATTTTAATGATAATACATACCAAACAAGTCAACAAATCTTCTAGTGTCCCTGCTTCCAGCCAAGTAAATAGATGATATACGTAGTTGTATCTGCCTGAGGAGGGCCTGCGGGAAGCTTTACGAAGAGCACAAAACACCCGAAGAGAAGTATAAAAGCTACATAATACTGATAGTAAGATCTGCTCTTAGTGTAGAGGCAATCACCGACATTAAACTTTCGTACGGAGTACTCTGTAGAGAGGTACTAGCGTCCAGATCTGTACAAGTTATTCCGTAGTATGTCACATGACTTATAATGTACAAGCTTAAATGAACGTCACCCATCCACTGCACAGTACTCCGTAGTTGCACAGTAGTTGTGCAGTGCATTTGCATGTACCAGAGATAAACTGCGAGACACTAAATGAGGAATAATCGTTTTATTTCAATGACTATTCTACCATGACGACTTTTCCTGATCTCTGCAGT